AAAGTCAGAGCTGAAAACACATTTCAGTCTTTTAATTGACTTAGACCTTCGCTTTGAGTGACTCTATACCTTAATTATGTTTATTTTATTAGAATTGAACATTCCGTTTTGTCACTACCAAAACAATAATAAAACTACTTAAACATTTCCTAATATTTCAAAAATTTTAGATAATTTTGAGAGTAGCCCAAAAATGCTAGCCATGACAAACACAGCTTCCAACAGTTGTAAAATCACAGTTGTACACATGTAAAATCATTTTTATTAAAACACATCTACGTTTACATGATTAAGTTTATTCCTAAAGTTACACACTGACTTTCAGACTTTGGGACACATTTACTTCAAAACAATGGGATAACTGCTCACCATGTGGCCATGAGGGACAGGGATGCAGTCTCACTTCCTGCTCTAAAATGCAGGGGTGTGGCTAAAATAAAGGTGCATTGTTCTGTTAAAATAACTTTAAAATTGTAAATGTTTTTAAATTTAAAATGCCATAAAATCCCATTAAGTTTGGATCAGGACAGTGACCCTACTGCTAAACCAATAACAGAATTTTTAAAATGTTCTTCCCTGACTGTCAACTACCTAATCTGAACCTCGGTGAGCCTGATTTACTGAATATGAGATTGTAGGCAAAATGGCCAGAAAACATGCAGGAACTGAAAATGACCTGGTGGAGCATCATCAGGGAAGATACCCAGTGTATGGTGTCTTTAGGCAGTCATAAATTTCAAAAGATTAGAAATCATACAATCAAATGGTATTTTTATTTAGAATTCAGCTGTTCAGTATCAAAAGACTTGAAGTGAATGTTGTTTACACTGAGATCCAAGCCCTGAAAACATTAAAAAGCAATGTTTAATGCAGAGTTTAGCACAGTTAGCAGCGGTGTACGTTCACATTTTATGGCATTTATCACAATCTGTAGCTTAAACACTGACATTTGAAACTTGCAGCTGGCATTGAGGAAATATATTCTTGAATATGAAAGCTGTAGTTTTACAGTGACTCTTCCAGTAAAGACCAAAAATTAAAAGCCTGTCTCTAAATATTACTGGAGGAGTCTGTTAGCTTTTAGGCTATCTGCCAAGCTCTTCCAGTTACAGAGAATATAGAGTGTAGACTAGTTTAGAGAGCCTGATAATAGCATCCAGATGTCACATTATTTTGAACAAACACCCGTGTTCAAAAATACCTATGTGATAGGAAAATAATTAAGCCATAAAACACGAGAGGGATTCTGTTATCATGAATAACATCACGCCTGTGATTTGGTCACAGTCATACAGCTAATAGATTGGAGAATTGTCCATTCATAGAGAAAATGGGGGTGGGTGAAAATACTGTAACAACAAAAATGACAATTCAAGCATTTTTTACATGTATTATATACTTACAATTACTTTTATTATTAATAATTTTCACTCATGTATGTATTATGTTTTATTTTATTTGTTGATGCATGCCCCCCCTTCCTTGCAAATTTCCTTTATGCCAGTAAGAGCTGCCCTTCCTTGATATAGGCTATTACTGCAGGGTTCAAACTGTGGGTCCCTGACAGAAAGTCTGACTATGAGGAAACTGCAAGTAAAACATGATAAGCATGAGAGCAGCTCAGTGGCAGCTAAGAGCTACACACGTTTGATTTCAGTTTTCACTCTGATACCAGTAACTCCACTTTGCACTCTCAGATATCCTCTAAACAGATGGAATTTTAGCATCAGTTAGCTGGAACTAAGCCTGTGCTGTGATGTTTGGCATATTTGGCCCGCTAGCTAAGCTGTCATTAGCTTAGCCAAATACGCTAAAGTCCCAAACACCATAGAACAATAGAACAATAATACAACGTTGAACACAAGGAAAACGTAAAAAAGAAGACAAGCATTTAGTTAGTCAGAGCATTAACATTTTAAATGGGGGTCCATTATAGTCTTATGGGAGTTCCCCCCAGCTCCCTACTCAATTTGAACCCTGTTTTACTGTTTCTGTGTTACTGGTAAGTTTCCTGAACCCATAGAAACCCCCTATAGAAACTTGGCAGCACCTCTACCTCAAGGTAAATCAATGTCATTAGGGCTCCCTAATCCAGGCTAAAGTACTAGTGTGAATACTGATTACTGGTTATTGATTATTTTGGTGTTTATGCCTTAACAACTGTAAATGCAGAACTCTAGGGGTTTGACTAGGCTTTGAACTTCTGTATGAATCAAGTACTTTTGACATGAAGTGACAAAAGCAAGGACACACACACAAACTCCAATATGGATTCCCCATCACAGGCTGTCACAGGAGGAAGGACACACCAGCACTCAACTGCACGCACGCACACACGCACACGCACACACACACACACACACACACACACACACATCAACTTCAACATGAATTCCCCTGAGATGAGCTACATTTGGCAAGGAGACACTGCCTTGTTAAGACTAATGAATATGGACGGGTTAAGGAGGGATTTGAGGGCTTGTGTGTAAAGAGTAGGGAATACTTAAAGCTTGCTGGATTCTTCACCACTAAAAGAACAATACAGATGAATCTAAACAACCTCCTGACTCCTAACTGACTACCAGTCAAACATAAAGCTTGCCTGTCCCCTAGTGGCTGGTTTTGATATAACAGCTTACTGTGCTGTTTTGAAATGTACTGTAACGTATGTGTCAAGAGTGTGGACCAAATTTCCTAAATGGACTAGAAACACAATAAAATTATAAATGCATAAACATTGAGCTCAATGCTTGATCCCCACAAGTACCATGTATAGTACTGTGCAAACATCAGAGACCAGCTTTCATTTGTTTCACTTCAAGTTAAAACGACCAAGTACAAGTTATTCATTTTGCTTTCAGTTTTTCAAAGAAAAATCTGCAAGGATATCTTTCCACACTGAACTCAAGGTTCAGTGCTAGGGGTTGGTTGCATTTTCTGCTTCTCACAATCCAAGAAATCCCAAACACATTCAGTGATATTGAGTTGATTGTTCTGAGAACACCAGCAGCTTCTTTGTTTCATTTGCATAGGTTCTTTTTGGTTATTTCCACTATTCAGTAACAGCTTCCTGACAGCTGCACATCCTTTCAGACTCATAGTGCTGAGTTGTCTTCTCACAGTGAAAGGATGGACAGAGACAGCTGTGGATGTTTCAGAGGTAAAGCAAGAGTGGAGCTTGATTTTGCCCTCTCTCTCAAAGATGATAGATTTAAGTGTTGTTTATCTGATGGTGTCTTGCACAGGTGTTAAGTCCCATTTTCTCTACATCTTTAAAACTAATTTTGCCCTCCAGTTTGGGAAAATCCTGTTTTTTTATTTATTTATTTATTTTTATTATTATTAATTTGACTTTCACCTTGCTCATCTTATTTAATCTCTTCAGAAGTATCTCCTGAAAATGAATAACTTGTCCTTAATTGATGTTTTGACTGGAAATCAAATAAATAAAGGGTGGTCTCTAACTTTTGCACAGTTTGGTAAGTGTAACAGAGGATATGATTAATCAGAATAGCCTACAGCTGCTGTTGCAATGGAATCAATTCTTCTGATGACATTAACACACTTGAACCATTCATGTGCTGTGCAGATATATATATACATATAAATGGGCTGATAGGGCTAAGCCCTCCCTCTCTTTTAAAGAAACAAAAACATCAAAATGACCCAATAAAAACTTTTTGGCATCTGTATCATTTTACTTGCTGTTACCAAATGACTAGAAGCGGATTAACTGACTTCTGTGGATCCAAGAACAACAGCAGATCTTGTGGGTCTGGTTCTAAAATCACATTGGCTGAGACATTAGCTGGTAAAATACTAATCTCTATATAATGTTGTTTACACTGATAGTCAGATACACTGTGAGCATGTCATTACATGGCAGCATTTAAGGCAGAAAATTTTCACCACTGCAAAAGTTCTGTCAGTGCCCTTATGGGATTTGCAGTATTATGTTAGTGCCAAGCATAAGAGCCCAAAAATGTGCATATGGCAGTACACTAAACAGTCACTGTTACAACATTTATCACATTGCTGAATGGATAATTACTACATAGAAAGTACCTTCTGTCACTTTCTGCATGTACAATGTCACAGTTCTGTTAGGTTTTTAAAATATATTAAATATATTTAGATAAAATTTATTGTATTTAAAAATCTATTAAATTTCCATCAATTGAAAACCCCCTGCATTGCCACCACAAACCCCTAGTTAGGACACCTTTCTCTAGAGAAAAGTAAGCCCCTACACAGTTACTAGGTTTATGCAACAGAGTTGAACAAATTGTATAACACATCTATTTATGTAATTATTATTTACAGTCAGTGTAAAACCGCAATGCATTTTCTTTATCATGACATGTTTCTAAGTGAAGCATGGTACCAGCAAGGGTCTCTGAGCTAGACAAGCTTTTTTACTCAGTGATAGGAGGGGGTGGTAATATATTATTTTTTAATATTAATGTTCCCTGCTCTCACAGTGATGTAGTGAAAAATCAGAACATCAGAATAACATTTTCATGTAAGATTACAGAATGAATGATGTCTTTTAAAATGATATATTAAGAATTACACTTCTTATGACCAGCCACATGAACTAACACGGTAAAAAGGTTCATTTCAGGTTGACTTTAAAATAAGGTAATAATGCAAATTAGTGTTTGTGCCATTATAGTACACATATAAACCAAACCAAACCAAAAAGTATATTTATTTTAAATAATATGTGCATATATTTGCTGATGTATGATGCAGCACAAAAGGGACCTTCGGTGGAATCCTTTAATACTTTAATCCTCTAATAACCTTGACTCAGCTCATGAGGGATCTGACAATTGCCTGCTGAGCTGAGTCAGGTGTTTGAGCAGTGAAAACACAAAAGTACAGTTCACAGAATTGAAATTCATTTGTGTAAAACAGTGAAAGTTTGATGGCTTCACAGAGCCTGCTCAAAATAATCACATGCATCAATCTGAAAGCGCACGGAAATGAAGCCCAAGTTGTTTAAAAGCAGAAGAGCTTTATTAACTAAAGCAGTGAATAACCAGAGAGCACAAAACAGTAATGAAGCTCATTACCAGCTCCTGAGGTACGAGATTTCAAATACACTTATATATAATACATAAATTCAATCAGTAAGAATGTTGAGTCACTTACGCCTCTCTCTCACAGCATGTATTCACATATTAAGGCACAGAGCTAGAAATAAATATGCTTCCATATACATCACTATTGACTTTAGGTGAGCTCAGTCAGCTCAATAAGAAAATGTACATGGTAAACACCAGTGGTTCTAAAGCTCAGTCCTGGAGACCCAAGTTAGTGCACTGGTGCCAAACTCAGGCTCTGGAAGGCCACAGCACTGCAGAGATTCCTTCAGCTGCTCTAAAATGCCTCAAATCAACTCAAACAAGTGGGGCTGGTTGAACTAGCTATAGACAAGTTCGCACACAAATTTTAACAGGCTAGAGTTAGACTATGCATTAAATCAAAACAACTTGTTATAGACATATGCTATATGCTGAAACTATATCATCTGTGCGATTGTGCACTACAGATGTAGCAGATAAGTGATTAGGTTGCAAAATTTTGGGAGTATTTCTTTAAAAAACCTAAGATCACTATGCCCGATGCTGGCTAAAGGGCTATAAACTGGGATATGGAACAGGGAAACTGCATTCTCCAGCGTGATGGAACTCCATCCAATACCTTCGGGATGAGTTGGAGTAGCGTGTCTGATCCAGAACTAATCATCCAACATTAGTACCTGACCTCACTAATGCTAATGAATGCCACAGCAATGTTCCAACATCTAGTGTAAAGGCTTCCCAGATCAGTAGAGGCTGTTACTGCAGCAAAGGAGGGACAAACTCCCAATTAATACCTTTGACTTCAGTAGAAACACTGGATGAGAAGTTGTCTTACTTTTGGACGTACAGTGTAATTACTAAACTCTGAAGCACATGACTCAGACCATGAAGGGCTTGAAGTCACCTGACGAGGTGTGCTAGAGCAGAGAAAAATCTCAATTATGTGCAGTGCTTGGAGTAACCAGAACAAAAAGCGAAAACCACTAGTTCACAGCATCAATCACTTTACGAAGTAGTGACCGTTTTAAACATTATCATTCTGAGGAAAAACGGGTTAGTGGCTGTATGCAATGGCACAGCATTAAGTGTTTTCCCTGTTGTAGCAGCTACTTGAAATTAGGCTCTTGAAGAGAAAAAAGTCCTAACGTAAACTGTACACACACCTATGGTGACAGGAAAGATACATCAGTCACATTTAACTCTTTTCACATTTCACAAGCAAAATGTCAAAAAAGTCACATCTTTCTCTATTAAACAGTGTGCAATATGGTAAATAGAACTTTGCCATTTGTACGTTATTGTGAAAAAATCAGAGACCATCCTCCATTTATTAGGTTTCCAGTCAAAACAGCCATCAAGTCATTTATTTTTCAGCGTCAGGAAAAAAGCAGGAAAAGTTTTGAACAAAATCATACAGAAGTCTCAACAACTAAAAAGAGTATCAAATTTTCCTTTGCTTTGGCTTTGCCTTTATTACAGCTTCTGTTCTTTTCGGGAGACTTGCTTTTAATTTTTAAAAAGAAATCTGCAGGGATATTTTTCCACATCAGTTGGTTGCATTTTACTCTGCATCTTTTAACAATTCTTTGAACTCCAGCTTTGCTGTTTTTCCCCACTTATTTTGCTTGTGCAATCTTATATCTAATCTCCTCAGAAATATTTTCTGAAAAATTAATAATTTGTAATAAATACTAAATGGCAGTTTTGACTGGAAATTAAATAATGAAACATGCACTGTATACTACAAATTTAGGTCACCTTATATAAAAACAAGTCAAATACTCTGAAGGTTTCTTGCATTCAGAGTTATTTTTTACTTTTTTATGAATTCAGAATGTCTTTTTGACATCCATGTGATTAGCTTCAAAGGTTATGTGCGTGTAGGCATATATATTGCTGTTGCTGTTTTGCATCTGGCTCAGTCCCAGGTTTTCTGTCCATTGTGGCTTCCTTATCAGTATTGCATGGATAACTCGTGTTGCCATGTAAAGAAGTTTTCTGTAAGCCATCCAGAACAGCTTCAGACATGTTTGTCTAAGGAAACCGCGTCCAAAACAATTTATAGTGTTCTGATAGTGTAGAGTTAGCATTCTCAAGAGTGTGCCATCCAATCCTTTGTCTTGGCCCTGCCTCTCTTTAATCCTTACTTTCTTTTTTCTTATTCCATCCTATTTACTTAATCTCAACTGGCTGCCTTCTAGCTATATAGTGCACAACATGAACCATAAAATAAAGACTTCTATACGTAAAGTCCAACAGGGAGGCAACTGGACATGTGCACCCTGATGGACACGCCAAAATAACGCACTGCATGCACAATTAGGGATTAGCTAGGTTTTGTGATATTCAATAAAACATTTTCACAATTCTTTTGTTAAATTGAGCGCATTATTACTCTACCAATGGAAAGGATGAGTTTGGAGGGAGAATTAAGGCAATTTCGTGGTTAAGTCAGTATAACGACTGTTTTCCTAGGGAAGCACTGGTCAGAATGCTCATAGCACACATAAGATATGCAATTTGTTAAAGATCTCACATGCATCTTGCAGTCTCCTGTATTGTAAATATCTGAAAAGCCAATAATACAATAATGACTAGTGAACAATTTATTGGGTAAACCTATGCCCTACAACAGTGTTTCTTAATCCTGTCCCTTAAGGCACACTGAATGCAATCTGTTCGAATAAACAACATAAAAATGTGAAATATTTGGACACTATTCTTTCACATAAAAGCTATACACGAGAGGATTTTTTGGGAATTTCGTCATGTTGTTTACACAGCCAAAAGTTACCAACAAAGGAGCAGAACATCTTTAAAGAAATATAATTTGCTCCTCAAAAACAGGCAAACAGTGACACTGATGTTTCCATTTCCATTTTGGAAAAGTGAATTTGTCGCAGCCTCATTCAGCAGTTGCAACTTGTATCTGTCTGAAGTTCAACATGAGCTACTTAGCTGTGTTTGGAGATGCTAACGCCAAAGTTTCTGTTGCTAGGACACAGCCGATCAGTGTTGTTGACATGCCAATTCATGTCACCTGCCAAAGTTTGCAAAAATCAAACAGGGGCAAATAAAAAATAATATCACATTTTTGCTATACGAAAGCTCACGTTTGGTGTGCCAGACATCATCAGTTAATCATGTGTTTACTGAGGCCTCTAGGACAAATAGCACATTTTAAACTCTTCCCTGCTTCACTGCACTTCACTAACCCATCACTTGATTATCAAGCCCTTAATTAGCTGGATCAGGTGTGTTGGGGCAGGGAATAGATAAAACTAAGCAGGGCAGTGGGTTCCCAGCAGGAGGATTAAGAAACACTACCCTACAAAGAGCCACTTGGGATTCAGCCCTTTTATGTTATTTCTTCTCCTCTAACAGTCTCTCTCACTCAACCTTGTAAAAGAAAATCACTCTTAAACACTTAGGGACTGGAAGAGATTAGTTTTATATGGGGAGGTGGGTAATGTAATTATTACCAATGTGTCTCAGTGCCATCCGAATCCACCATGTCAGTCATTTTTATGGACTGTGCGCTCCTGCTTCAGGAACGATTCCAGATCATATTTTGTGGAAAAGGATTTTTTGTAAGTATGGAGGCACTCAACGAAGCATTTATTTGTATTCTCTGTGGCCCAAATTAAATGTATTGTCCTACTTCAAGTGTACGTCTTCGAACATTAAAATATGTAAAAAGAAAAAACGTTTGATTTCATGCGCTGATGTTGACCATTTGCTGACAATTCCTGAGGTAATGGCAATGCAGCTCTTAACGCTAAAGAAAATTTATTGGTTAAGATGTAAACAGTCATTCAGAGTGGTTTGATGTGAAATCTGATGTGAAAAAAACTTTGCGAGACAGAATTGTTCACAATGGTGGTGATATGAACCAGATATCCAAAGCATTTAATGCCTCTAAAAACTACCTCACAGAAAACTATTCATGGTGGAGATATACATACAGGGGTTTGTAAGGAAAAATTATACCTGAAGAAATTTTTTTTTCAGATTTTTTCAACGATATTTCTATAATCAACATTGCATATAAAAATTTAGAAGACAAAGGTTCACCAGTGTTTTATTTAGTAAATAAAATGGCTATATTTATGTTGTAGTCATGGCAATCCCCGTTTCCTTACCCCAACACTGTAAAGAAATCTGTGTAAGTAAGTTTCACATCAAACCACTCTGAATGTCTTTGTTTACATCTCAAAGACTGAATTATGCATAGATTTAGAAAAATCTGTGAAATTCCAATTAAATTCAATGTTTGCCCATGTATTCTATTTGTAAGATTGCTGCACATACTGTGCATGGAAGTTTATTGGTGTAATGGCAATACGTAAATCGAGTAGCCACTCCCACCTCTGTAATTTACACTAAGATTACTTATGCTATGCAAATCAGTCATAGACATTACAGATGTCCTGTGGCAAAATAACATTACCTCACCTCCACAAATTTATATTTATATGTATCTCCTCTCTCATGCCTGGTAGAGGGGCACGACTCTGCTGATCATCTGCCTGCAGACAGGGCAGGTGGGCTGAGGCAGGGCCTGGTAGCAGCTGTAACAGCAGCAGACGTGTCCGCAATTCAGCAGCACACACCCTCTCGGATTGCTCAGACAGATCACACACAGGTTTTCTGTGGCTTCCTCCCCGTCCTGTTCCCACATCTGTTCAAATTCCCTTCTCTCTCTCTCCCTCTTCCGTTTGCTCTGCATCTGCCTATAGTAGCGACGACCCACCCACAGCAGGACAGCCACACCCACTAATGCACACACGCAGGCCAGCGCCCTCCAGCCACCTGCCTGTCCCTCCTGCTCCAGCCGCAAACTCTCAAAGTCCCCTGTGCTCAGAAAGAACTCCGAACCGTCGGTTGGTGGGCGGAGCTTAAGCAGCCGGTCTGTGTCCAGGATGAGCTCACCCACAGCTGTCACCGAGGACCCCACCTTTAGCATCTCCTCTGTCTCCAGCTGGCCTTTGGGCTTCTCTCCACTCAGGTACTGGCCCAACAGGTCGGTGAAGCCATAGCTGGCTTGGTGGAACTTCTCGTGGACAGTCTCCATCTCGGGGCCCGTGGCCTCTAGGGGGCAAAGCACGCGTACGCTCGCCCCATCTCCACCAATCAGGTTAAAGGGCACAGCATTCACACGCTGGTGCAGTACACGCTCCCGGTCTGTCCTGCAAGGAGAGAGAGAGGGACGTCAGTGGATTTTTGGGAAATGGGTAGGTATATGGGTTGGGGGAAGAGAGAAAGAGCAGGAGAGTTAATGGTGATTAGGGAAGAGACAGATATAAGTGTTCAATATTTCATTCACCTCATTCAACTCAACTGCACTGCAACTTACGCTCCATTCACATGACAAGTCTTGTTGCTCATTTCCAATTTTTGCTCAGATCAGATCCTTCCACCTTAATGATTAACATGTTTATTAGTAAGTTCATCTATCATTAGTGAGAATACACTTGCCAAAGGACCAGCTTGATAAAAACAGAAAATATCTAATTAAAATTCCAAAATTCACATAATACTTTTTACACTCATTTGAAGGTAGAGATGTAAATGATAACAATTAATCATTACTGCTTCCTAAAAATTGAAGCATGCTGCTAAAAATAGTGGTGTTCGCAACCAGTTTTCGAGAGGATGACAACCACAACAATGTACATTACCTGCGAACAGTAAGACAGAAAATTATATTGTCCATGTTCTCTGAGAGAAAGTGTGATGCATGGCCTTATGAGCAAATCAGTCAGAGAAGGATGTGGTGCACGGTGATGGCTTTCCAGAGCTACTTAGGTACACTGACCCAAAGCGACCCCCGGTCACGTCATTATGTTGGTTTTGACTTGGGCCAGTAATGAGTGATAAATAGAACTTCAGAAATTAAAAATTAACCACAGTACTGTGACTAAATGGTCTTACCAGGTGCGAGCTATGCTGTTCCACACCAGTTTGTGCTCCCGGAGAACAAGTTTCTGTATTACACCAACACTTCCTTCCTGAAACTGACTCCTTAACGGCTCCCCTACGGGCTGCACGGTACCTAAAGACAAAGGCAGAGAGAGTCTCTCACTTAGTGTTCTTTGTGACATGACGTTTGTGGCATCAGTTACATGAAGAATATTGCTTATTTAACAGAAGAAGCAAATTACACTACCCAAACGATAAGAATGTAAAGCAGCTATTACTCCAGTAAGCAGTAATACAGTATTAGTGCCTACAGTGTTACTTTTTTCAGTTAGAAATTCTTTACTTTCTACATATTTACATAGATTTCTTCTTTCTTTAAAAATAATCTGCTCCTTGTGTTTCACATGGGTGTCATGTTCTGTATACACATATGAGGATTAATCACAGCCTGAACATCTAAACTTGAGTTGAAAGAGAAAGTTGTTAACCGCTGTCACAAAAACGAGTTAACTGCAGTTCCATTCCAGCCTGACTTTAACCCCAATTTACCCCTTCTGACAAATTTCACAGTCTGAGGTGAATATCAGGAGCTCAGTTGGAAGCGACTGACGGAGCAAATGATGTGGTGGTGCTAGAAGGGAAACAAATCAATCTTTATCCTCTGGAGTGATCAATGGCCCTCTGATATTTGCAAACATGATAGGTTTTTATGACTCAAAACGTTCACGAGTGCTGTAGTGCGAGATTGTCAGCAACAGCCAATCAGACAGCTAGGTGAGAGAAAGGTAAAGAGATGCACGCCACCTATGCAGTGGACAGAGACAGAGCAGCTGCTTGTTTACCACAGGCAGTCACTCTCTTTACAATTTCAAGACAGCTGCCAGTTCATAGTAAAATATTCAGCAGCTCTTACTGTGATATCTGCGATTCTCAACCAGGTTTTGTACTCAAAACCAATTAAGTGTGTGATGCCCTCTTTTTGCTTTATCGTATAGTGTGTGCACCCTCCCAAATAAAATACAAGAAATTCTGTAGACTGACATTTTCACCAGTTGTGTAGAGCAGTTTAGTCAGGAAAAGTTTAGTCAAGTTAAGCTTCATGAGACAGTTAATCTGAGAAACACTGGTCTGGCAACAAGATTCCTACCGTAATTCCCATCTGAGGTATAAAGGCAGCTTACCTTCAATAACCACATACTGTAGACACTTCCCTGGTGTAGCATTCAGAAGATCCACTAGGTTCTTGTTTAAAGCTATCTGAGGAGCATCCTGAAGAGACAAACATGCATGTGTGCTCATTTACGACCTTCTGTCAGCTTTCCAAAACTATTACAAAGTGGTCAAATCTAATTACAACAACAATGTCAGCGTCAATGTTTATGGTAAAACTGACCACAACTACTCTGTTTAACAAAGAAACGCATTATCTACATTTTAATGACTGTTTTAATCACCATTCTCATTAAGCAATGTAACGTTCCTTACATTGAGTTTGTCCACAGTTTTGCGTTTCTTCCTGTAGACATAATAGAACAGACCAGAGAGAGCGATACTGGAACCTAAACACACCGCCTGCAGCGTCCCAGTGGGAAATTCCTCCATTTTCTTCTTCCTCTTTGTTAGTCCTCACGCTGGGTGAGCTGTAAACCAGATAAAGTTACCAGATAAAGTTGAAAATAAAAGTTGAACGTTGAAATTGACGAGTACAAGTGTGACTAGGGAGGTTCTTTATCGGTTTCTCAGGGACATCAATCCAGCACGCCTTTTTTATCCTGTATCAGAGGAGAATAATTTACACTGGCATAGATGACCTCTTACTTTAAAGTCGCGGTGAATCAGAAATCATAACACATTTCTTTCCGTACCGTATTTCTGAGTGAAACGCGTTATCAGGGAGGGTCTCTGAGCTAGCTGAGCATTTTTACACGATGACAGGTGGAGGTGGTGTGAGGTGGAGGTGAAACGTGATGCTATTCTGTAGTTGCCGTAATGCCCATATTAGGAAGCCCGAGTCTAAGCAGTTTTCCTCTATGTGAAAAATAAAAGGCATTTTGGAAAATACCCTGTGGTGAGCTAAAATGTTTCAAAGTCAACACTTTTTTTCCCTGAATGTCACTGGATCCTCTGAACTACAAGGTCATTAGAGTTGAAAAACAAATGTTGCTACATACAAACTAACACTGCTCCAGAAACCAGCAGGCTTTGTGTCAAATGTGTCAAATGCCATAGTTAAGTTGCTCTGGCAGTAGCAGTGCACTGTTAGAGGCTCAGAGTAAGCTAGCACTTGTTTGGCTGCTATGTGTGTATTAAAATTGTATAAAAAGTGTTTACATTTGAATTAAAAAGTACATTTATTTGAACTGGATGTAAGCGAATCATTATTAATGTGAGGTAAATCACTATTACCTCACAATTATCCAAATATCCTGCTGTGCTAATGATACCATCAACAAATAACACATGATGGAACTCAAAGTTCCATCATGTGTAGGAACTCAAAAGTCTGCTTCGAAAGCTTAAAACTTGCTCTTACTTCTTGTTCTGTGGGCAGCCAGGCTAAAATGCTGTGGACTTTCCGAGTAGGAACTACATGCGGGAGGGACACCAAATGCATTTTTTCCCCACTTGGTCCTGAACGCAGCATTAGACTCAGAGTTTACAATTTTGGCATGACCTCCAGCTGGACTGGTTAATGTTATTTTCCTCCGTCTGCTGGTTCACAGTGACATAATCAAACATCACAATATGTTCTAAATATGAGCAAAAGTCTTTACATTTTGGTGGAAGATTGCAGGAAAATAAATATATATTTTTGACATATGAAATGATGAATTGTGCTGACCATGACATGAACTAACAGGGTCTGTGTATATTTGTAAGTATATGGTTATGAAGGTGTAAAACACACTGAGGAACATTTAGCTAGTTTGCTAAACTGATTAATGTTCACTCAATAATAACTAAGCTAACTTGCCACACTATAAAACGTGGTGCTCACACTTAACATTCAATTATAGAAATACCAGCGAACTGTTTGAGGATATGAGTCTAACTGTAGTACAAATTCAAATTAGGTTAAAACGGTTGTAGTTAAACGCAGTAGACAGAAACAGAGCAGATGATTTAGAGTTGTGGGTTTAATGAGCGAGTTTTCTGTAAGTTATCTAGCGCTTAGCTAACTACCTTTGTCTGATTGAAGCTGCATGAAACGTTAGCTATCTAACCTGGCTCACGTTAGCTAAGCTAGGTTACGCTGAATGTGTTCAGTAAGTTAGCTACCTAGCTAAGTTAGCTAACGGAAAATAACTTAGTTCAGATTCAAGAGGATAAAAACATTCAGTCTATATGACCACAACAGCCCAGATACCGAAACAGCAGGCAGGCTAACATTCAGCTAACCGAGGAGCTGTGGTGGCCGTCGGGTTGAATGTTTGACTTCGAGAAGGATTTGAGAGTAAACCGTAGACACCACACATAAAAAAACAACCACGTTTAGATATTACACCGTACCATAATAATGTACCGCATTTATAATAATGTAATTATCAGCAACAAAGATGAATTTACCCTTACACGAGTCGGAGGTCACATCATACCAGCAAGCTGAATTCTTGTTTTGATCACATGGTGTGACGCTATGCAAGGCCACATGTGCCAAAATGGCCCCAACAGTTGTCTCCATTTGATTTTAATGTAAAATGCTTTCTGTAAGTGCAAACTGGGCAGACGTTTTCTCTTATGAGGAACTTATTCACCCAATGGGATGCGATTTATGCGGGTTGTAATGAAAAACGTTAAACATTAAAAAAAAATCAGCTGAAATCTGGTGGCATCAGCTTGGCATGTCGATTTTGGTTTATTTTCCCGGGGTTTGTGAACACAAATAGAGCAGAAATATTTATATATTTTAAAATGAGTTTACTACTGTCATTAATAACCCTTAACACAAGGTTATGAGTATACTTTCCGTTAAAAGGCTGTTCCCTTCCTGCTTTGGCCATGATGACAATGGGATTGATGTCACCTCAGACAACTTATGTTGCATTTGTAGAGACCTCTTCCCACCACTTTTTGAAATGCCCCATTTTATCCCATCTTTTTCTAAAAGAATAGTCTTTTGAACATTTTTGGACAAAAGCTTACAGCAGAACAATAGACAGTGTCTTTCATCATTCCTTGTCAGTTCACTGACACATGACACACTGGTGGTTGTGTGGTGACCTTAATGGAGACCTTAATTTGCCTAATATTTTGGATATATTGCTCCAAAAAATCCTCCACAATTTAAAATTTAATGATAATTGAGCGCCAGGCCCTGGAGTTAGTCAAGCTAGTCAGTGCTGAGGTAGTAGTTATAAATAGTTGAAGGCATATAAAGGATTGCTTTCTAGATGTTTTGGCACTGGTGGCCTGCCATACTCTCGTCAGTCTGACGGTACGAGTAGAGGAGCTGCTGCTGCTGCTGCCACGCTGCTCCAGCCGGTCAGCGAAAATGGCAGGAGGCAGAAAGAGGAGTCCTGCTGGCCCGCCCAAACTGTCCGCATTTCTCAGCGCCATATGGAGGGATAAGCACTTGGTTTTATTCAAAGCAGAGTACACTTTCCTGGTGGCGGCGGTGCTCTGGGTTTTGGAAATCGGCATCAACGTGTGGGTCATTCAGAAAGTTGCATGTAAGTTTAGTTTCGTACTAGCTAGCCGGCTAACAGCTAGCACTGTCAACCGATTATCGCTACTACTTCCTTTGCTGACGGGGGAAGTGGAGACATGCAGCTCCACAGCTCCGCAGAGGAGACAGTAACGCAACCTTAGGGTCGACACGGATTATATTGGTTTCATTTAGTTAAACTTAAAGGTCCTTAATGGAAACTAGCTTGTTAGCTTAGTAGCTAACTTGCATGCGTGGAGACACAAGAAGGGAAGTCATTTTACACTTCTACCCAAATCACTTCAGGACTTTTATTTATCTGCGTTCAGATGGCTTCTCTAGTTAGTTGCGCCCATGTGTCAGTGTTTTCTAACTCCACCTCTGTCTTCCACTTGGACCACTCCTTTCAGCTGATGAAAAACTCCTCATTTTTCAGAATTGTTGCATAATTCCGTTATTGCGATGTAACAAAGTCATTCAGATTGGTTTGATGTAAAATGCTTTGCTGTAGAGAAAGTTACAGACTCAGATTTCTTTACAGTGGTGGTGATGGGAACCAGGGGTCACAATGTCAGCAACACATACAGGCATTTTATTCACTATCCAGAACCACCAGTGAACCTACACGTGTCTTCTAAGTTTTAAATGTAATGTTTATGATGGTAAAATACTGGAAAATCTGAAATAATATGTTTCTTGGAGACTATTTGCCTTACAATGCCCTGCATGTACTCCTCCGCCACGGACTGATAGAAATAAATGGATTAACGAGAAATTTTAGACCTAAACTTTCACAAAACTGTGATTTTTTTATATATATATATATATATATACTAAATTATATTTGTTGTCTGTCTTCTGTTAGAAAATGGCTACAATAGATAAAACTTAAGACTTCACAACAAGATCACAACTTATTTGCCTTGTGATCTCAAGATACCAAAAGTTGGTTTCTTCATATCGCAACTTACCTTGAGATCACTCAACAAATAAGTTGTGATCTTCAGAAAACAGCTTTTTTATGTTGAGATCACAAGACAAATGAGTGGTGATATCAAGAAAACACCTTTTGTTATTTTGAGATAAAGACTTAATAAAAGGCATTTTCATGATGCACAATATCTGTTTAGATCATGTTTTTATATTTATATTATGTTTTTTGAAGGTTGAAAGTAACTCGATGCAGACAAAATACAACAACAGAACAACACTGGCACATGCAGGACCTCTTCTGAACATGCAGGAGTCCTGAGTGATGTCCTAGTTCAGGGCGCCAGTCATATTATTTTGTATTCAAGAATGAATAAGAGCTAATTAATCCCAGCCACTTCATTATTACTGATTCCTTGTGTCGGTGCTCTTTGTTCATTTTATCAGCTCCACTCACCTTACAGGTGCACCTTGTAGTTCTACAATTGTAGACTGTAGTCCATCTGTTTCTCTGCATACTTTGTTAGCTCCCTTTCACCCTGTTCTTCAAGGACCCAAAGAGGACCACCACAGAGCAGGTATTATTTGGGTGGTGGATCATTCTTGGCACTTCAGTGACACTGACGTGGTGGTGGTGGTGATGTGTTAGTGTGTGTTGCGCTGGTATCAGTGGATCAGATACAGCAGTGCTGTTGGAGTTTAAACACCTCAGTGTCCACTCAATTATACACACACCTGTCTTTTGTTGGTCCACCTTGTAGGTGTAAAGTCGCAGACAGTAGCTGCAGTATCTGCTGCTGCACAGTTTGTGTTGGTCATCCTGTAGTCCTTCATCAGTAAAACCTCCAGCAGCACTGCTGTGTCTGATTCACTTGTACCCGATCAACACACACTAACACACCACCACCACATCAGTGTCACCATAGTGCTGAGAATGATCCACCACCCAAAAATACCTGATCTGTGGTGGTCCTGTGGGGGTCCTGACCACTGAAGAACAGGGCAAAAGAGGTCTAACAAAGTATACAAATAAACAGACTACAAACTACAGTCTGTAATTGTGTAGAACTACAAAGTGCTCCTATATGATAAGTGTAGCTAATAAAATGGACAATGAGGGTCAATACATGGTAGGTGCACTTAATGAAGTGCCCAGTTGGTGTACATGAATACATACATACATACATGCATGCTTGTGGGGTCCCCTTGGTGGTTTGAAAACATATGGTTGTTTAAAACATGTAGTGAATCTTGACACCACAGTTGTTATTGAATGCAAGGTGGATTGGATACAAGCTGTTAAGAGCTTAAAGAGCATAACAGGCAGTGTTATATAGACGAGAAGAGCCCTGGTGAATTTAACGGCAAGGTAGTGTGTGTCATATGTGAGGGAACAATTGGAGTGTTGAAAGAATATATACAAACACTGGCAATGTGTGAAAACATAAGGCTATCAAAGACCTGTCTAAATGTTTTGTCTTTTTGGCCCTTGGTCCACCAAAAATATTACTCTTTGGACCCTCAATACACAAAGTTTGTGCACCCCTGCGCTAGAGGGTTTTGTGCATTATTAGGGTTATATAGTGTTATTTAAAAGTAATTTTCAGACTGCCACAATCATGTAGGCTCATAATATTTAATGACAGTAAAAAACCTTTTCCATTGTTGTGTTATTGAATTTGTACTGTAATATATTTGTCATTTAAGGAGGAAAATTTTGTAAAACTTAAGACAGGCTTTAATATTCTGATTATCACTTCACCTATCACCCCAATATCTCCCTCTGCTGCCCCCACAGATACGGAGATCGATTGGAAAGCCTACATGGATGAGGTTGAGGGTGTCATCAATGGCACGTATGACTACACGCAACTGAAGGGAGACACTGGACCGTTGGTGTGAGTTTTGTTGGGCTGTCCAGGCCAGAGATCTTGACCTCAGGGCCCTGGAGAACAGTAACACTGAGTTTAGCATTCACTAGGGCTGCAACTAACGATGATTTCCATAGTCAGTTAATCCAGAAAAGAAAAAGCCAGTAGTTATAGTAGCTAAAAGTCGTGGAAAACATTTTTCATCACCTAAAACAAATTTTGTATGGAAAAGAGGCCAAAACGCAGAGAAAGACAGTATACTTTTAAAAAACATCTGTATTCAAGAGGACAAGCAGGTCTGTGTGCCTATCACAATAGCAGTAAAACGGTATGTTTTTTATGCAGTTTAGACAAAAATGCAGCTCGTCCCTTCAGATGAGTCATTTATTTGACTAACCCAAAACAGAGCTCACTGAAAAACAATGAGTTTTACTGAGATTCTAGCAGTTAATCATTGTGCAGAGTTTTCATCATTTTCAGCCATGAATGTGTCCTAGATGCTAGCACATGACAGTCACACTGCTGTCATATGTGAGCAGTTTTACACATCTTACAGAAAAACGTAATTTCAGATGATGTAGAAATGAAGTATCCCTGTATTTTTGACTTTGGTAGTTGTGAGTAACGCTGTTTTGTACTCTTTGCCATCTGTGTTTTCCCTCTTTCAGTGTGATATAAATGAGGAGTGCAAACATTCCCATGACACCTAATCAATGACGAGATTTGTTGCCAACAATTTTTTATTATTGACGTTTTTGATAATGATCATTGGTTGTTGCTGTCCTAGTGTTCAACTTATACAGACTTAGTAATGTCATATCATATTTAATTGTTGAGGCTTCTGTGTAATTTTCTGTCAAATATATACTGTACTTTGCAAAAGTCTTGGGCACCCAAGCACATTATGTAAAGCCATCTTAGCAATAAATGTCTAGTTGTGTGTGAAGTCACCATGTATCATTATAATAAATACAAATAAACATAAATACCGTAAAAAGTACTGAGTTTATCTGATATCTTGTGAGCTAGTTTGGAGAACAAAGTGGTTGGTCAGGTTCCATTTTACTTCCACTTTGTATTCCATTACCAGCACACTTGATTTAACTTAATGAAGTATTGATTAACCAAACCAGGCATTGTAAGACAAATACAAATAATGCTGGGCTACCACAGGAAGTGGGTTAGAAATGGTTAAAAACAGAATGACATACATAAAATAGCTACTTTTTGTATTAATATTGTTTTGTATTTATTGTACTGTGCTCAATCAATTTAAGCCACTGTGTGTCGTTGTGTGTTTCTCAGGTATCCAGCGGGCTTTGTGTACATATTCACTGCACTTTATTATATTACGGATCATGGGCTGAATATCAGGCTGGGTCAATATGTGTTTGCTGGCTTCTACCTCATCACCCTCCTGCTGGTCTTCCGCATCTACCACCGCACCAAGAAGGTAAGAGGAGGTCTAATTATTTACCCTGATACGCAGTTGGGCTAGCTAGCCTTAGCCAAAAGCAGGATCTTTATTGGTGCCAGTAGAAATGCTCCAGAATCTCTTGGAATAAAACCCCTTTGAATTAACATACATTAAAGATTAAGAACAGTTTTACTTGTAAAGGTACTATTTTGGATTCTTATATATCCTCTTTATAAGAAGGTAAGGATCGTATTTCTTGTTATCTCTGCTTGATTAAGTCAGTGAATCAGTTAATAAGCCTGTTAATTTCTGCTTCTTAAAAATGTACATATTAAAGCTGAACAATATAAAGGCTGTAATATGAGCGTTAAGAATACACATGTCCCCCAAATGATCTGTCCAGTCTTGGTTTAAGTTGGTCAGCAGATGTGAGGGTGAAGGCTGGCATCTGTTTCTATGATATACATTACCAAGCAAAAGTCTTAGGCATCTAAAAAATAGATATGTAAAGTTATTTATCTGTTTTTACAGATACCGTCCAATACCTGCCTCAGCTAATCAATCCTTCATTCAGTTAAATCATAATTTACTATTACCTATGTAGCAGATGGTCTTATCTAGAGGTTTGAGGGTTTGAGTTTTCCATACTGAAAACCCTTTGCCTTTTCAGGTCCCGCCGTACGTTTTCTTCTTTGTGTGTTGTGCATCCTATCGGATCCACTCCATCTTCGTGCTCCGTCTTTTTAATGACCCTGTGGCCATGATGCTGCTGTTTGGAGCAGTCAACCTCTTCCTGGATGCGCACTGGACACTGGGCTGCGCCCTCTACAGGTGAGTTGGAAACATAACATGCATGATTGTATGGATCGACAGATCATGCATGATGTAGATTTGCATGGAAAAGTAGAAGAAAAGAGGAATTATCTCTTGATTATCTCTTGGATTGATTGTATTGTATAATTTGTATTGTGGACAGTTTGGCCGTGTCTGTGAAGATGAATGTGATGCTCTTCGCTCCAGGACTCCTCTTCCTTCTCCTCTCAGAATTTGGATTGATAAAGACCCTGCCCAAGCTCATGCTCTGCGCTGTCATCCAGGTCTCACACACAAACACAAATATGAAGACACTCGTACACTATATGGACAAAAGTATATGGACAACCCTCGTATTTATGAGCTGTTTTAGCCACGGCCTTTGCTAACTAGCGTATCAAGCATATAGCTGTGCTAACTCTAGAGACAAACATTGGCAGTAGATTGGGTCATACTATCGACAGACTTTAATTGTGGCAGTGTCATAAGATGCCACCTTTGCCTCAAGTCACTTTTGGGAATTTGTCCCCTGCTAGATCTGCCCCAGCCAACTGTAAGTGCTCTTATTATGAAATGAAAGCGTCCAGGAGCAACAGCAGTTCAGCCATGAAGTGCTAGACCATGCAAGCTCACAGAGCGGGGCCGCTAAGTGCTGAAGTGCATGACTGAAAATGCCTGTCTACTCACTGCAAGTTTCAAATTGCCTCTGGAAGCAACATCAGCACAAGAACTGTGTGTTGGAATCTTTAAGAAATTGGTTTCAGTAGCTGAACCGCTGCACACAAGCCTAAGATCATTATGGTTATGGTGTTTTTCAGGGTTTGGACCCTTTAGTTCCACTGAGAGGTAATGTTAATGCTACAGCATACATAGATGTTTTAGACAGCTATATGCTTTCAGTGTTGTCACATTTTGGGGATAGACCTTTCCTTGTCCAGCATGACTGTGACCCTGTGCACAAAGCGACCATTGAACACCTTTGTAATTAAATTGAACGTCAGTTACGAGCCAGGCTTCTCGTCCAACAACAGTATCTGACCTCACAAATGCTCTTTTGACTAAATGGGCACAAATTCCCACAAACAAACTTAAATGTGACATTTTTATTCAAGTTTTAGTGCATATTTACTGTTTATTTGTTTAACATTTTGGGAAAAGATCAAACATTCCAACATTTGTATGTTATGTTTTTTTTCGAGACTTCTAAAATAGCCCACAGTAATTGCAGTGTTGCCCACTGCCGACTATAAATACTAAATAATAAATTTACAACTATAAATACAAATTCTAAAACAGTTTCTTGTTTTCTCTCTTCTACTCTACTCTTCTTTTGTGTTTTTTTCTCTCTCACTGTTTATTACCTTGTTCTTTTGCTCTCTTTCTTTTCTCAGCTTTTGCTAGGTTGGCCTTTCCTCTTAGTGAATCCAGTGGGTTATGTGAGCCGGGCGTTTGATCTGGGTCGTCAGTTCCTGTTTAAGTGGACAGTAAACTGGCGCTTCCTACCAGAGGAGATTTTCCTTAGCAGGTAACTCCAGCTGGACTGTGTACATTTCTTATTGTGGACAGTTTGTGTTTAAGATATATGCAGTCCCTTGTTCACTGTGTTTGTGTGTGTGTATGAGAGAAAGAATTGAAAAAAAAAGCCATCCAAAGACACAGCAATGTTAAATGATTTAAAGTGCACATTTTCATCTTCAGGTATTTTCATCTGGCCCTCCTGCTCGCTCATCTGACCACACTCATCTTCTTTGCTCTGAAGAGATGGAAGAGGTAAAAAAAAAACCCTGCACAATCCACAGTTACAGCAGCGTTTAGGCTTTTGTGCTAGAAACTTGTACAGGTCTGAATAGAAATATAAAAGCATATTCCACAGGTCTGGGAGCAGTGTTTGGGCTCTTCTGAAAGATCCCTCTGAAAGGAAGGAGACGGCACAGAAGCTCACTGCTGATCATATCCTTTCCCACTTCTCTCACTTTGTCGTGTGACTGAATGCAATCAAATCTTCTAACATCTAGGGGAAAGCCTTCCCAGAAGAGTAGTTACTGTTAATGTAGCAAAGGAGGACAAACTTCCTATTAATACCCTGGATTTCAGAAGAAACGTTGGATGAGCAGCTGTCTACAGTCTTTTGGATGTGTGTACATTGTTTCTGCTGTGTTTCTCTTTAACTGGGTCTCACAGATCATCCTGGTTCTTTTCACCTCCAACTTCATCGGTATGTGTTTCTGTCGTTCACTGCATTATCAGTTCTATGTCTGGTATTTCCACACCCTGCCTTACCTGCTGTGGAGCGGTGGGGTTAAGAAGCTCGCTCACCTGCTCAGGTAAACCAGCACAAACATACTTCTCAATTTATAGTGTTTATGTGGTATGTGATATGCGAAAATCCTGTTCTTAATCTTTGATCTGCTTTCAGTTGTAAACAGTTACTTTATTCTCTCGCTTTGTTTCTCTTTCTGTCCTCGCTCTTTCCTGCTCACTCTCTCATTCTCTTTACGTCTCTCCGTCTGCTTTCTGTCTCTCATTTCGTCTCTGTCTCTCCGTTTTTCCTCTCATTCTCTCTTTCTGCTTTCTGTCTCTCCTTTCTTCTCTCTCTCTTTCTTCTTCCCATCTCCATCCTATTCTCTCTTTCTCTTTGTCTTTCTGCTGTTACCCCTTACTTTCTCTTTCCTTTCTTTTTCTCTCTTTCTGCTTTCTGGCTCTCCTTTCTTTTTTGTCATTCTGCCTCCTGTCTCCTTGTTTTTTTTTCTTTCTTTCTTGTCACTCCTTTCTTTTCTCTCTCCTTCCTCTCTTTTGCCTTCCTCTTCTTTCTTTCTGTTTTTTTTTCTTTTTTGCCTTTCCTACTTTCTATTCCTCTCTCTCTTTCTCTCTTTCTGTCTCTCTTTCACAGAGTGTTGATACTGGGCCTGATAGAGTTGGCGTGGAACACATACCCCTCCACCACGTACAGCTCTGTGTCTCTGCATGTCTGTCACCTCATCATACTGCTGTGTTTGTGGCTGAACCCCACCCCGACCCCTCAGGCCCTGCAGACAGAGTCCCACAACAAGGCCAAGCGCCACTAAGCCCTTTTCTTACTAGATTCCTCCCTGCGTGGGGCATCCCGGGCCCTCCACACCCTGCTTCTGCTCCTTCCCCCATCAATGCCTCCACTGACTATCAGTCTTACCAGCTTAAACTGCACTTGCCATGGATTCAGTCTGTGACATCTAAGGGGTGTGGGGTTCAGATGCCAGTAAAGCTGCCCAGTGTACAGGGAAAATTGGGATGGAAAACAAAGATTCTCAGGATTTTAAAAGGACTATGTGCGAAAGGACTTGGAACCTGGAAAAGAAAATGTGAACGTTGTGTGGATCAGCAGTGTAAAGCAAGTTTGAACCTTGAGATAGTTTTCCTGGAAATGGACTAGACCTAGTCTAGACTGTCAATTATTATTCATTTTGAAAAGTCTTTTTTAGTCTCCACTTAAAGGAATACTCCAGCGCTTTTCAACCTAATCTGCCTAATCTGTAGATCATTACCACAAAAAGTAATTTTGACACAAGGTCCCTGGAATAAACAACAAAAAACCTGTTGATTTGAATAAAGGCAGTGGGCAGGTACTTCAATCCATTAACTCACTTCACTTCTGTCTGAGATTGAGTTTTCTGTAGGGATATTAACCCACTACCATGGAAATGCAATGGCAGCTTGCTCTCACTTTTTCCAGGCAAATGATTGTCCATGAAGATTAGATTGAAAAACGCTGGAGCTAAATTTTGGTTCCTGTATCTAGGAGCATCAACATGACCTGAAGAGACCGCTGGCGATGCGTACATAGAGATGCTGTAATTACGCCTTGTTTACAGCAGTGGTTACCAACCTTCTTCTTATATCTGTCTTTCTTTAGAATTTAATGAAATTTCAACGCCAATTCCATTTACAGTTAGCAATGATAGCTAATTTTTGTCCTCAGTTAGATTTGGGCTGCAATTGCAGGCGCCCTCTGTGAGGTTGGTGAACATGGGTCAACAGACATGGGCAGTGGTCAGCCATGTACAGTACATCTGATTAGAGTATAATCCTTTTGTATTATTTGTCAAGGTGGAAACGTAGCAGTCATCAATGGGCCGACAGGAGTATGACTGATATAATAAGTAGGTGTGAGGGGAGAAAGTGAATGCCTTTTAGACTCTGCAATTACTCCCCCAACCAGGACTTGTTCTGCAGCATATGTGACATTCATTACAGTTTAAAGCTACAGTCCAGGGTTTCAGAAAGTTCTGAAAAATGGTAGGCTGAGCTTTCACTGCAAGAACCCAAGAACAACATTTGAAGGTTATCTTTCAGTTTAACTTGTTTGACTCTTAGTAGGGTGTGGTACTTGTCAAATCAGGACTTAAATGGTCTTATTTTGTCCAGAAACTAATAGTTATATGTAAGTATTATGCATTTGGTATCTTTAAGAACTGCTCTACAAATATCTGATTGTAGCTTTAAATGCTTTCTTTCTGTCACATCATTGGTCAGGGATTTTTATTTTTAATGTTTACTTTTAACATTTGCTCCAAATGTGACAAAAGCTTTGGCCAAACAGAACTCATTCAGGAATACAGCATACAGGGCACAAAAAGAGCATAGATTCTTCTATTGCTGTGATGTTTTCGAGCAGGACTTTGTTGTTTTTTTTTTAACAATTACAGACAGAACTCTGTATTTTGTGACTTCTTCCATTCTTTCAGTCTTTCCGTTTTCATTTCTTCAGTTTGTGCTTTGTCTTCTGTTTCTTTTTCTAGAGTGGTACATGCAAATCATGTGACCTCTAAGCAGTTTAGTTTAAGTTTATTTCTGTGTGAAGAGTTGATCTTCGCAGGATTGCAGTCTTTTTCTGTTCTTTTTTTGCATGATCTCTTACTTAAATACTGACGGCAGCTGCAGACTCACCCAGAGCAGCATTTTATCTGGTAAATGTGTCAAAGCTTGAAAATAAAATTCAAATTTTGGTACAAATCATCAGTTTCAGTATTGTGCATTGAAAGCCATGGAAAGACATTAGACAGTCACGTGTAAAAAGAGATTTATTGCAGGATCTAAGGCATCCATCAGTTTGAAGGCATTAAAGCATTTCTCAACACAGCCACCAACATCAAAAGGTAATACAGCGTCTCACCTCATCTTACCGAGTAACTCATTTTTGAGAACATGTCTTTTTTAGCAACTTGTCAAATGGAAAAATGAAAAAGAAAATAAAAGCAGCATAACAGCATCTAAACTACATAAATCCAACTGAAGCAACTGAATCTAATCTAATCTAAAGTCTATTATGACAATACAAAGAAGCATCCAGCAGCAGGAAAAGTGACAGAAACGGCAATAAAAATGCCCAGACAGGCAGTTTCTGAAAGCACCTAACTCAGTTCCTTAAAGAATAATTCCACTGATTTTTCAAACTTTCTGTATAATAATTAAGCAGTTAAGATACCAACAAAATCCTTCAGAGTGGTTTGATTGTAAATGCTCCATTCCACAGAAACGTGCTGAGTCAGAATTGCTCGGATTAGTGTGGTAGGAACCAGACATTTAAAGAGTTTAATACCTCCAAAAGCTCCTTCACAGAACGTCATTTCAATAAACAAACTAATGCCTGAGATGTGTTATGGTTTTTGAGACGGCTTTGGTCCATATCTATCTATGTGTCTATCTATCTATCTGTCTGTCTATCTATCTGTCTATCTGTCTATCTAATTTCTTGTACGCATAGCAACATCTGGTTCCTATCACCACTATTGTAAAGAAATCAAAGTCAGCAACCTTCTCAGTTTCTCTACAACCATCTGAACCATTCCATATCAGACCACTCTGATTGACTTTACATCTCAACAGCTTGGAAAAATCTGTGGAATTCACCTTAAATACTCACAGCATTGTGCAGCATTGATTGGAGCTAACTACTAAAGACAGTACATAGTAAAGTGGCCCCATCTCTTGGACCAGATAGAGGCTCTTGTCATTCCATGTATTTCGTCAGTCTCTCTCAATTCCTGAGAACCCACTACCTTATCGGTTTCAAGTATTCCCTTCTCCCACACCCAGGATCCAGCTCATGAAGGGCTTGAAAACTGGCTGATGAGTTTGATGAGAACCAGATGTGCTGGAGCAGGGAGTAGTTGAAACTGCAGTTTAGTGTGTTCCAAGGTTTCAATGTGCATTCTGACTGTCTAGGAGTTAATATATGGATATTCAGTTAACAGTGGAGAACAACAAAAAAGGCTTTAGCCAGTATCAAAGTATCATAAGAAGTAATTTCCTGGCTGCTATGGATCTTTCCTCCACTTGGCAGTACATGTGTTTGTGTTTTACAGAAGTAAAATAGCTGCAGTAATGGTGAATTCAAATGTTCAATGTGCCAGCAAAAGGTTTAATGAATGTCAACAAATAACCATATAAGACCTCACCTAGATACGACTTTTCTTTTTTCAATGCTGTTTTTTTTACCCTGACTTCCTGGAATGCAGCATAACGAACACTCAAATAGTGATTTCAGTATTCAAACACCGGCACCTGGATAGCTTAATCGAGTATTTGATTACTCGTGCATACTGCAAGTTCTTTACATATATTAGAAATGGCTTATAAGGCAGAATAATGTATAGTTTAGAGGTCACCAACTCTCTTTCTTGACATTTACTTCCCTGCAGAGTTTAGTTCCAACATGCATCTAACAACCCCACCCCCCCATTCCTTTACCCAACACTAATGCCTAACCAGTCAGAAAGTTCTGAAGAAGTTAATTACCTGGAGGAGGTTTGGCAGATTGTGGTTGGAACTAGACTCCATAAAGTAAGACCTCCATAACCAGGGTTGGTGACCACTGTTCTAGAACAAGGGAACGTTTCTAAAATTGGAGCCCTTACTATTGCTTGAATCAAAGTCCTTTGGGTCTCTTATCACTGTTCACACAAGTACAGAGAGTTTCTGTGAGAGTTAGACCAGGATCGGTGGTTCACGTTACAGGATTGCAGAATAAGCTATTTTGTCTGATAGGACTGTAGAGTCGGAGGTTCCATCATGTATTGTTTGGGTTCTAGCAGATAATGTAGAGTTGGAAATTCCATTATTTGTTGTTTGCATTCTAGCAGAGAATGTGGTGTAAGAGGGCCTGTCATTATGTCATTTGGGTTCTAGGAGAGCATGTGGAGTTGGAGTTTCCCATAGTTGTTTGGGTTCTAGCAGATCTTGTAGTGTTCAAGGTCCTCTCATATGCTGTTTGGTTTCTAGCAGAGCATGCAGAGTTGAAGGTTCTATCATGTGGTGTTTGGATTCTAGCAGTGCATGGGGAGTTGGAGGTTTTGTCATATATTGTTTGGGGTCTTGGAGAGTATGTGGAGTAGGAGATTCCATCATATGTTGTTTGGGTTCTAGCAGACCATGTGGAGTTAGTGGTTCCATCTTATTTGCTTGGTTTCTAGCAGACCATGTGGTGTTGGAGGTTCTGCCACATACCTGGGTTCCAGCAGGATGTTGAGTTAGTGTTTCCATCACATTTGGGTTCTAGCAGAGCACACTAAGTTGGAAGTTTCTGTCACATGTTGTTTGGATTGTAACAGAGCATGTTAAGTTGCAGATTCTCATCCCAGTGGCGCAGCAATAGGAACAGTTGTCTTGCAGCCGCCCTGAGCCCTGGCAGGTCCACGCCCTCTGGCAGTGACTGACACTTGAGCCAAAAATCAGCCTTGGCAGCCACTAGCTCCCATTCCACGAAGAAGCCAGCACAGTGGTGCTCCAGCCAGGCCAGAGCCACTGCTGTAGCCCAGCTGGAGCTTTCTACATCTAGCTGGGCCAGCTCTTCCCCATGAGGGTCCACCCCCTCCAGTGGAGAGCCCTCAAACATGTCTGTCTCAGAGCCACGCCCACTATCTGCCTGCAGGACACCTCCCACTGGTTCTGGAGACCCCTCCTCTGGGTCAGAAAAAACGGTGAGCGGCTCATTATCATAGTAACGGCGTAGGCTTGCGCGAGGTGGGTGGGTGCTAGTGTGGTCCACTGGCCTGTAGGGGGCAATGGGGCGGGTGCCAGGAGGTGAGATGCAGCGGTATGGTGGGCTCAGGCTGCTGCGGTGACTCAGGTAAGGAGATGCCCTCTTTAGACGATCCAGAGGAATGTGAATGCACTCTGAGAATGACTCACACAACAGGAACGCACCTGAGGCCAACTGCAGACGCACCTGAGCAGGTGTCAAAGGGAGAGATACAAGTGGGGAAAAAAAAAACTCTGGTTACATCTAGTTGCTCATCAGGGGCCCCCACATTTTTGCTCTACCCTAATTCAGAACACCTAGAGATTTAGCTAACTCTTCACTGTCTGGGGGGCCCTGACCACTGGCATGAGAGCCAATGGATTAGCGTAACCTGGTGGGCCAAATCAAACATCTTCTCAGGCCAACTTTGGGCCCATGTTTTCTAACCATAAAGCTGGAGATCTATCTTGTACAGTGCTTCTGAATGCAATGTTAAACAAACATAACTGACTCTTAAACATAACATAACTTATATTCAGGTTCCCCACAGGACTATGCTTAGCTGAGCTGAGGGTCAGCACAGGCTTAAAACTAAACTCTAAACATAGGAGATAAACATAAGCATTGTTGGATCCTGACAGGATATAGCTATGAATGGATAAGGGAGCCAGAGAAGGATAGTTATGGCACTCACCAGAGGCAGATAGTCAGGTGATATGGAGTCTGTATATGTGTCTGATTCAGCAGACAGGCACTGTGGTTTGAGAGGAGTTTGCCTTCCTGAGCTGTGGCTGGACCTGAGTCTGCCAAGGTTAAACCTACAAAACACACATGCACCCACACATGGATGGGATGAGACATGTCCCCAGTGCCAGCACTTCCTAATAAGCAACATAGGCAGCTGCTTAGGGCCCTGTGGAAGTCAGGCAGCCCTCTGAAAACTTTTGAATTATGACTGCACCATTATGATGTCTAAGATGCTCAAGTGAAGGGGAAAGGAGCAACTGGTTAGTCAAGTCTCAAAATCTGGTGGCAAAAACAGAAAAGAAAAGGTGAAGATGAAGAAAAGAAGCTTTAAGATAAATGTATGTTTTGTTTTTTGGTTAACAGATGATCAAATGTGATGTTTGTGATGAACAACCAAATGTGAAACATGAGGAGTCATACTACCAAAATATGTAGAAAGTAAAGCATTTATAATGGTAGAAAAACAGTGCTGTGGTCACTGCTTCCAATGTTAGATCAAACTAAGTTTAAAGTTAGCTGGTGTTGGGAATTGTTTTATTTTGATTTAATTTCCAATTTTCTGTTTCCTTTGTTTTAAGTTGTTATTATTTGTTAAACAGTATTAATGCTGAGGGGTTTAAGAAGTCACCTCTATTTCTGTTCTTGTGGTTTGAACAGGTACAGCAAATGGCCTTACAACACCCCCTAAGGAGGATTTCCTAAAGCAGAACACTCTTTTTACGACATCAACTCTGGTTGTTTTGTGACAGTAAGGTTTTCACGACAGGATCTAAGGCACTGAGAACTCTGACTTCAGTTTTACGACCGTATCAAGGGTCTGGGGGGTGGGGGGTCAGTGGCACAGCATAACAGCTGTTCAGATTGGGGTGAGACTAGGGCAGATGTACCGAGCAGATGTACCGAGTGCTCTCTTTTTAATAAAACTATCATTATTTCTGCAAACCCCAGTCTCCTGAATCTCTCCCAAGGCAAGATCAAAGATTTTCTATGTTGGGTAAGCAAGAAATACTGTATTGTGTGTCAGATCACTCAATCGAGCATTCGGTTATCTAGAATTTACAATGAAAGTTGTAGTTCAGTAACCAATACCCTGTAGTGGAGTCCAGCAGCATTGTGTCAATAAGAAAGTTTTAGTGATTTTAACATGATCTAAAAGTCTTATGCATTCTGGTGCTCTGAGACTGAAATACATAATTGCTGTGGAATTCCATAAGGTCATTTGAGTTTAGGTCACTGAGGAAAGTCATGTCAAAAAATTGTACAGTTTCATGTCTGGACCCTGATGATTGCTGTTTGCAAAGTAATGTGAAGGTGGCCACTCATACTATTTACGACACTAATGAAATAAAAGACTAATAAAGTATAAAGTATAAACAGTTGGACTATAGGCTGTAATTGTAGACCTACAACGTGCACTTCACAAAGGAGCCGGTGTTTGTCTACTATACTATATTGGTTCTTTTCTGTTTTTTATCTGGACACACAGTACGTGTGGAAAAAATGCTACCATAATAATGATACACAATAATAATGGTAATAAGTGCCCTGAAGAAATGTTTCTGACCTGGTGCTGAAGAAGCTCTCGACAGATCTGCTCTCGATGGACCGTTGAGAACGGGACGAGGCAGCAGAAGGACTGCCAGGATACACATTCCCACCAACACCTAACACACCAGCAGACACATGCATTTAGACCCCACTTTTTTAAATAAAAGGGTTTATCTGTTCATTTCTTTTACAATCAGAAACTGCTGCTCTCTTACCCTTTCTCTATAACTCACTCAATCTCTCTCACCCACTCTTTCTGTCTCTCTCTCTCTTTATCTTTCTACTTACTGCTGTCCCAAGATGCCAGGCTGCGTGGAGAAGCTGGAGTGTCGTCTCTGTCTGGAAAAAAAATGTTTCAAAAAAGAGAAAAATCTCAGTACAGTGTCACGACATGCATCAGGTTCAGTAAACAATGAATATCAACTCGGATATCTTAAATTAACATCCACAAATGTGTGAACTACCTGTCTACCGATGTGTATGTTACCTGTGGAGGTGTGAATGTCATCTATCTCCTCACTGTCCCTGCTTGATGGTCTGCGCCCAAGCCCTACAGAGTACGCCCTCTGTCTCCTGCTGCTGGTACTGCGCCTGCTCCCAAAACGCACACCTTACACACACAGCAGTGTTAGAATGCATAATACAGTACTAACAAAACACACTAAGCTTGGATGGCAAAAATCCACTGATTGTTCAAAATTGATTTTCTTATTTCATTTCTTATTTATTATCCTTATATGGAATTGCATAGTTCCATCAATGCAACATAAGGAAAGTCATTCAGAGTGGTTTGATATAAAATGGTCTGTTGTTGAGAAAGTTACAGATTATTAGTCGTGTGTGTATGTATACCTGTGTGTCGACTGTCTGTGGCTTCTGACAATGTTTTGCTGGGACTGGTGTCAGTAGTAGTAAAGGCAGTGTACATGCAGATGATCCCACAGCTTTTGCTGGTCTGGATGGCCTTCATACGATATCGCTTCGACGACCCTGCAGGACAGACAGAGAGAGTGAAAGTGTGTGTTGCGCAGGTTGCGCTGTGGGCGTCCTCTAGACCCTCACTGATGAAGCACTAGTGGATGACCAGCACAAACTGTGCAATAACAGATGAGCTATCAGCTCTGACTTTACATCTACAAAATGCACCAACAAGGTAGGAGTGTCTAATAGAGTGGACAGTGAGTGGACACAGTGTTTAAAACCTCCAGCAGCACGGCTGTGTCTGTTCCACTTGTACCAGCGCAACACACACTAACACACACCACCACGTCAGTGTCACTGGAGTGCTGAGAATGATCCACCACCCAAATAATACCTGCTGTATGGTGGTCCTGTGGGGGCCCTGACCACTGAAGAATGGGGTGAAAAGGGGCTAACAAAGTACACAAAGAAACAGATTTAATTGTAATTGTAGAACTACAAAGTGCACCTATATGGTAAGTGGAGCTGAAAAAATGGACGATGAGTGTAAAGAAGTGTTTTAATGAAGTGGCTGGTTGTGTATGTTCTGAGATAATTTCATACTTAATCTCTTTGTAATCAAAACTTAATTTTAAAAAATCTCCTAATGTTCATTCTTAATGATTATTGCCCCCCTCTCACTCTCTCTTTCTGTCTCTATTCCCTTCCTACCATGTTCTATGTCTGTCTCTTTCTCAGCCATGTTCTCAAAGTCTCTGATGACGGAGCGGGCAGTGAGTTGGTGGATGATTTCATCCCAGGGGCCTCTTGGAGGGCTCTCAGTGGCCCACAGCATAGACAGGTCCACGGTGACCTCCCAGGACACAGGCCGGGCACCCAGCAGGCCGTGGATGACAGAGCGACACGAGGCCTGACCAGCCTGAGAGTCACCTGCAGGGGCAGGCGCAAAAAGAGCCTCAGGATCAGTGAAACTGTCCCAGTCCAGCGGAGAGGCGGGAAACAGGAGACCATCTGGAGGACAGAGAAAGTAAAAGGAAAGAAAAAATGAGTTTTTCTGCTTAAAAACACTCTGAATAATGTTTATATGTTTAATATCATCCAACAGACTGCAATACACCACAGGAAGTGTTGGGGACGATGTGTCTTCTATTGTTTAGTTCTACAGTGTGAACAGTGTGAGCGCTGTGACAGGAACAAAAAGAAAACCAAACAAGGCACTGAAGGGTTTTATTAGTCAATTAATTGAATGGTAGTTAACAGATTCATTGATTATAGAAATAACCTTTAGTTGTAGCTCTGTGTTGTGCACAGACAGCCATGCTCAAATGACTGGGCATTTTATAACAGGCTGGGGCGGTAGGCTTTGAAAAATTTACCTTTCATTTTCCTGAGCCAGAGAATAGAATAGTATAGTAAAGCTTTGTAAAATCGTTTTATGTTTTCAAAATACTAAATATGTTGAATAGACTTTTGACCACGAAATTAAAAATTGTATCAAACATGCAAATATGCATGTTATTACAGCCCTAGTACACCTGCATGTAAGCTGTGTGCACAGTGCAAACATTAACATATTGACATTAACTTATGAACACAAAACACATATTCAGACACTCCTTATTTTTTAAAAAATAAGTATCATATCAAGACTTTTTTGCATATTGTTGCATCTCTAAGAATGCACAAAAATGTTTTTCAAGAGTAATGAACAGCTATATGTTTATTAACATTTGATTAAATTAATTAAGTTTTACTTATGGTGATCCTTATAAAAAAGAAGATTGTAAATGGTTAAAAGTGGTCAATGTAAGAAACTGTTATCAACAAACAGAGAGAAGCCTTTTCTCATTAGAGTAAGAGTACATTACTGCAAAGCAATTGAACATTCCAGAAAAACATCTTTGGTTAAACTAGACATCAATAAATATGTGGTGCTACTTGTTGGTGAACTGACTTAATTGTGAAATATTTAGGAATCTTTAAATAAAATCACTGATTGTTGCCATGCTTTTGGCCTGTGGTGTGTATGTCTTTCTGTATGCATGTGTGTGCGTGTGTGTGTGTGTGTGTGCGTGTAAGTTCTCTCACTGGAGTCTGTAAGAGACAGAGCTTGAGGTGTGTTGTGTGTCTCTGTGTCGTTCTCATCCAGTCTGCCTCCAACAGTCTGCTCGAAGGATACTCTCTCCAGCGCCCTCCGCAGGCGGTGCATGTCCAGGTCACCCTGTGGGGACGAGAAACTGCGGCTGGCCAGAGCACAGCGTGCTAGAGCCTTCTGCCTGCGCACACACTCCTCTCGATCTGACAGCCGGACTCCCTGTACACACACACACACACACACACACACACATATATATGAAGTTCCAGAAGGACATCTAGTCAGAGAGAATTTTAACTGTGTTTGACAGTGCCGGAGGTAAAGTGGTTCAAACTAATGCATTACAGTAACGTGATTATTTTTCTCCGATAACAAAGTAATGTAACATATTACAGTTTAAATCTTTCTAATCACATTACAGTTACTGACTTCTAAGGAATTACATTATGTTGCATTACTCATATGTCTCTAGGAGAACTAAATTAATTTTGCGCAATGCATTTTAATCATAGATTTCTTCTATATAGTTCATCTGTGCCAAGCTCTGATGAGTTGTTGTACCTTGTCTAAACGCTTTGTCTATATAATACAGTTGAAGTGAAGCTGAATTAACATTAAAAACACAATGAATGATAACCACATGCACATTAGCACTGCTCGATGGGTAGGAACATTTTTAGAATACCGGTCTTTGTAAGATTTACATTTTATTCACAAAGATTTTATTTTGAGGGAGCTGTTTTTGGATTGTTTCTACTGACTCATTTCTCACTTTAGAAACAGCTTCCGCTGTTCATCATTTTAATCAGCATAACTGTCTGTGTCTTGTTTAAAGTAACACAGAGTGGCTGCCTTAAGTGATGATGACAGTTTCTTTCTATGTAAATGGCTGAAAAGGACTATCAGGTTTTCCCTTGTACAGCTGGTACAGGTTTGGTTGGGTTTTAGAAAGTAATATACAAGTCAAGTAATGAGTAGTTTAGGAAGTGAAAAGTAGAGTAATATGCGTACTCTTTACAATCATTCAGAGAGTGCATCCTTCAAATAAACCACTGCAGTGAGCAAGGTTAGCTTTGGCTAAGGCATATATTTGCTTGCTTTAAAGGCATATTAAAAAGAACAAAATTTTAACTGTCGTTTCAGAGATATGCTGGAATCATTCAACTGACTCAAAGAAATCCAGTGCCTTTTCTGGTTACTGATTTGTGCGTACTTATGATTATGTTTGAATTCCTGTTTGTTTCTGAACATGTCTTTATGACTGTAATTTGCTAGGAAAAATGACAGAAGGAAGACAGAAGGAAAAACAAGAAGCAACAGCCGATATATTGTTTGGCTGTTATTAAACCTACACTATGTAAGATATTGGGATTTGGAGACCTCTCTAGTGTAAATGTGTAATTCCATGTAATGAGTGGAAGAACACTTTGCAACGTCAGTTGTTGGTGAATAACATTTTGCAAGAATGTAAGGCAGTTATCTACTATTGTCATCATATCTTCATCAGCATAATGTCAATTTTGCATTTGAGACCTAAACATCAAGCTGGACCTTCTTTTTGAGCCTATGCGTGTGACGTCAATACATAAAGATGTATGATGTGGCCTGAAAACCTCTGCGAAATCTGACTCAAAACCTCTTCAAATGAATACTTCAGGTTTTACAGGATGTCTTGCAGTGCCATATTTTAGCTTGTTTTCTCCTCCTGACTCGGTAATGACTTCTTTTAATTTTAACAAAAAATCTTACATAGTGAAGTGTCCACAGATTTATCAACATTGATGGATCATTAAAGCACCAAGTAACATCACTTTAAATTCAACACCTAAAAAACACATTCAGGAACAATTTGCATCTGCTATTTATTAGAAATAGAGAGTTCACAATTCCCAGTTGACAACTGACAATCATTTGAACCATTAAAACATTGTTTAACCAAAAACTATTGTAGTCTGTTCTGACCAAATGGTCTTCGCTGCTATTATCACTTATCAGACTTTCTAGCTCCTTAAAATCCACATTGGTGACCAAATATTTATATCGCTCAGGTCCCACAGTGTTAATCACATACCGAAAATTTAAAAGTTTGCTAACTTCCAAATGCATTTGGGCTAAATGCCTTTTCAATCTCACCTTCCCAGATTCTGGATCCGCAGAGGAGGCGGTGTTCTGTTGCCATGGTGATTCCCAGCGTGAGAGCCCCCTCCCCTGTGGCTGCACCCTCTCCAGGCCCTGTGGGAGTGAGCCAGTGTCCATGCCCAAAGAGAGGCCCTCTGATGGAGGAGAGAAAGAGGCTAGCCCCCTCTCACTGCCCAGAGAGCAGCGGGTCAGCATGTACTGCTCCTGCACATATGATGCCTGCTCCATCCGCCAGCGCACATCGCTCACCACATAGTCCTGATCAGTGACTAGAGAGGACACAAAAACACATTTCATACCCTCAGATCAAAACACATGACAAAAATGACAAACCCACAATCACTACTTAAAAATGCGAGGATTTTATTAAAATATCATTCTCAATGCTGTTCAGCTTTCTCAGTCATTTAGGAATCATCTACTTCTCCGTTCATCATTGTGCACACATATAAAATTTTTGAATAGTGGAATTACCAAAATGTGTGGGACCGACCAGCCCTCCAGGACCGGAGCTGTGCACCCCTGCCATAGAAGAACCACTTTTGATTTCCTAAAGTACCACCTTTGAAAAGAGATTTGTAAGTGTGAAGGGCCCTTTAAAAACTTAAAGAACCTTCACATGATGTACACCAATTTTCCTCCTAAAACCTTTATATTATGTGGAGGTTCTTTCAAAAGTTCTGTAAGAAGGTTCTTCACACTCACACTCTCACATCTCATTAACAAAATTTCTTTTTTTCATGGAACCAAAAATGGTTCTTTTGTGACACTGTGAAAAGATCCATTTGGGTCAGAGAGAGAGAGAGAGAAGAGTGAATGACAGGGATACAGTCCAAAACAGACAGCTGGTAACCCTATATGCAAATAGTGTGCTTGTTCTTTATGGATCAATTGGAAGTACAGTTTTTGTACAGCTATTGTTCAAAACAATTTTTATAAATAATTGAATATTCAGAAAATTCTAATCTAACAGCCATGCAACCCTCTAGCTGCCAAATAGGCAATCATGAGAGATACTACAGTAGCCACCTAACAACACCCTGCCCCCAGGCAATCATGAGAGATACTACAGTAGCCACCTAACAACACCCTAGCAATCACCTCCAATATCATAGCAACCACATAGGAACACCCTTGAAACCACCAGAGAAACCATAGCAGCACCCAAGCAACAACTTAAAATACCATAGCAACCACCTATTAATACCATAGCAACAATCTAGCAACCACCTAACAACCAACTAGCAACGCCCTAGCAACCAGCTGGAATACCATGGCAGCCACTTGGCAACACCCCAGCAACCACCTAAAATACCACATCACCTACTTAGCAACACCCTAGCAATTTCCTAAAATACCACATCACCTACTTAGCAACACCCTAGCAACCTCCTACAATACCACTTCAACCACTTAGGGGGCTGGGGTGATTGAGAGAGGTTGAAAGCAAAAGGACTCTCCTCTTAAAGGCAAGGTGGAAACCAATGACGTGGCAGAAATTTTGAAACCGCACATGCTTTTGCCCATTTCTGACTGTGCATATTAGAGTTGGAGGTGCTGAAGTATATGTAATACCTGAGTTGCTGGTGTTGTCCGTAGCTGGAGCACAGGAGAACTCGGAGGAAATTTCTCGTGAAACTTCTCTCAGTGCATCCTCAATCTCTCCCTCCTCTGCTGCCTCTCGCTCGCTCGCTGGCACCAAGGGCTGCAGCAGCTCGGACGATCCAGGGGACAGCTCAAACACTGACCCCACAGAGCCTCGTGGGACAGGCCTGTATCCATGACTCTTCACCTACAGACACCCATGGTATACAAACAACAGACAGCAATATATTAGCCTGGAACAAAAAGGGTTATGTAAATGTCTCACACACACAAACTTACTTCATTCTTCTTCACTTTGAATGCAGAAACATCGTAGAGAGTGCAGTAGCCAATCAGGCGATTCCCTGGGTAGAGTGGCGGGATCTCATTGGGCGAAAGCAGAGCCTCCATGTTGTCCGGCACATACCAGTCAATGCGCACATCTGTCAGTGCTGGCTCCAGAGCTTTCTTCAGACACTTTATTAGCTACAGCAAAGACAAGCATTCCTAATATAATGCAGCAGTACTTCATAGTACACTGTAAAAAATCCAATTTCATGTTTGACAAATTTAAGTCAACAAATCGGAATAAACATGAGAACACATTTCTTGAGCATGCTATAATATTATAGACTCATCACATAAAGTCAGCTAAATATATAAACCAAACAACATTTTTAATATTAAATGTAAATATAGTATTAATAACATTCTGATCTGCCTTCAGGAGATATACCCAGCTAAGCCATCACAGAAATGATGGGAGGAGAGAGAGAGAAAGAGAAAGAGAGTGAGAGAGAGAGAGAGACAGAGAGAGAGAGAGGTAAATGTAAACCACTTAAAACCAAAGTGAAACCACTCAAAACCAAAGTGAAACTTTAAAGTATTTAATAGATACTCTCAGAAAAAAAGGTACCACACTGTCACTGCAGTGGCACCCTCACATCACTGGTATGGTATCATCAAAAGTACGTCTTCAGCACCTTTAGTTAGAGAACATAATTGTACTTATTCAATTGCAGTTATATATTTTGCACTGACTCGTATCCTGTCCTGCCCCGTTCATACACTCAAGGCATTTTATTTTTCTATTTTAAAACGTCACGTTATAAAAAAGGTAATATTCTGCACCTATTTGTTGGAAAAGTGAATTTAGTGTATCTTTAAAATGTATTAAAGGTCACATTTGAACCTTAAGACCATTGTTGTACCTTATAAATTGGTAAATAAACTGTTAACTACATTAAATCAAACCATGTAACTGGAGTCAAATCAGTTTATAGAATAGTAGTAGCATTTTATGAAAGAATGCAAGGATGGAAACTTACCAAATGAAAGGAAAAGGTATATAACAAACATTATGAATAAGAACAAAAGTGAGCAAGTGGTGAAAAACATAAAGGAGATTATAAATTGGTATAATACACATATTCTGCATTATTCTTAAAATAGATCACATTTCTGCAAAACAGACCTCTCTAAAAAAATGTTAGCCTGGTTAAAGGGAAACTCCACCATTTTTTCAAAATCTCAGCATAATTAAATGGCTAAGACAAACAGCAAAAACACCAATATGAGATATGTGACAATTGATATTTGTAGTAGGCTTAAAGGGGAATTCCACTAATTTTCCCAAATTTCTGCATAATTAAATGGTTAAGACGTAAAAAAAAGTCATTCAGCGTGGTTTTATGTGAAATGCTCTGCTCTAGAGAAACTTACCAACTCAGAATCAACAGTGGTGGTGACAGGGACCAGTCGTCTGAAGAGTTTGATCCCTCACAGAAAGTCATTATGTTATATGGTTACAGATATGCCACCTGATATCTGAGACATGGTTTTACAATAGTTTTGCAGTAAAGATTTGGCCTAAAACATATACTTTTAAAGTCATTCATGGCAGTATGTATGTACAGCACTGTATGTCAAAATGGTCCCCAAAAGAAAACCTATTTTTCCAGATTTAACACTATTTTACCACCAACAGCACAAAGAACAATGTCAGAACACAAGCAATTTTGGCATTGTACACATCCTGACCCCTGGTTCCTATCACCACCACTGTAAAGAAATCTAAATTGGTAATTTTCTATAGAATTAATAACTGCACATCAAACCACCCTGAATGACCTTGTTTACATATCAATGACTGAATAGTACAGACATTTTGAAAAACTGGTGGAATTCCCCCTTAAGGCCCCAGTTATGGCCGAAAGAACCTTACCCAACTGCTGCACCAACACGACCACGCCCTTCAGGCCCACAGACGTGACCCAAGGTAAATAAATAACACCAATAAACTCTATAAAATATTCTTAACAAAATTCCGCTAACTATTTCTATACAAACACACATCTATGAATGACGGAACTCGCTCTAATAATTGCTGATCAGGTTTGAGGTCCAGTACTGAACACGTGGTTGAACGAGGAAACGGTTAGTAAACGGTTCAGCACAAATCAGCAGCGCTGAGGAGAAAAAAACAAGAAAGAGCTCTTTTTAACTGAACTTCGACTGAACGTCGGTGTCAGACAGCCACTTTCTTCTGTCTGATTCAACCAATAACCTCAGCTTCAACTGCGATGACCAAAAGAAAAGTGACCATCAAGAGAAGAGAGAGAGAGAGAGAGAGAGAGAGAGAGAGAGGATGAGAGGATGAGAAAATGCGCGCGAAAGAAGCGCAACAAGCTACCTGAGAGGGAGGATGAGGACAGCTCTGAGGGAAAATAGAAGGAGAGGCAGCAGGACGGTAAGAAATAACGAGGGGGGTAAAATTACTACTAAATATCAGGAGGGGTGCTTTGTTTTTTTGTGAGACAGATGAGGTTTGTTCGCTTTTTTGTGCTCGTGAGGCCTCGCGGTTTATGCAGTGTTGTTTGTGCACGCGCTCCGAGTGCTGTTTAGGCCTGGGGTGCACTGGGGGTCAAAAGGTTACTCCAAAAAAGTGCCAAAAATTATTTTATTGAACTGATGTAATGTTCTGGAACATTGACTTGATCTATAATCTACTCACAAACCACAACAGTCGGTCTAAAAGCATTATCACCGAGTAAACCTGCCCACAGTGACGTCTGTGTGGGGCCGTTTTCGACATTAATGATCTTAGACCCCCTCCGACCTTTACAAGGCCTTATCTGAAGAGTTAACTCTGGTTCAGTTTAGAACCAGCTAACCCGTCCCAAGACCTTTTCAGCACCATTATTTATTCTCAGTTACTATAAAAGTTATCATCAGTGGGTTCGTGGTGATCGGGCACTATAGCTTTACTGCCCAGGGGCACCAAGGGGTCTTAATCTGACTCTGCCTGCATGTGTAGTTCTAATAAGTACAGAACAGAAAACGGTTGTTTCATTTTATTATAAGCTGTTATTTCAAGTCTCATGATGGCATTTCTATCACACAGACCACCTTGGTTCACATGGTTACACTGGTTAAACAGTTTGTCTCGGTCTTCAACAGCTGGTCAGATGAGCTCCTGCTTTATTAGAACTAAATCCCGCAGTGTGCAGGTAGAGCCCACTTCAAGAGATGTGCCCCCCCCCACACACCGCACCCTCGTGTACGAATACAGCTCTGCCAGTGTGGGCTGCGTTCACACAGCGCAGTTTGGTGAATAGACGAAGCAGATCAGAACAGATTAAACCAATCATACTAATGTACAGGACACGGACTGTGTTTGCCCGCTGTGGTCTGACACGTCTGTTCAGTCAGACACAGACAGTTCAGGGGGCAGTTCAGACGGTCTGATCATGTTTCAGAGGAAAATAAAAGCAGAGATAGTCTGAAAGGTTGGCATCTCCGCCAGAGTCATTACCGTCTTAAAGAGGCCCGCATTACCCGGAGAAACCTAAAGATCTTCCTCGATTTACCAAAATCCTGGGTTAGCAAGTTATGAGCGCTCCTCCCTGCGGACGGCTGCTCCACAGTTTGGAATATGATGCTTTATTAAAATAAAGAGACGTTATCGGGGGGTTTATATCGGTGGGGTTTACATGCTGTGGTGATTACAGTGAGTGAGTGAGGGCTGAACTGGTCTGACCGACTCCAGCTCTGACAGCTCTGCTCTCAGCTAACTGTGCCTCAGGGACGGATCTTGGACAGTAGCGGACGCTCTAATATAGCATAGTCTGAGGGACAGGGGGCGGTGGTCGAGCTCCCCCTGGGGTCTACCTGTGCACGTGGCTGTAGCTCTCTGTGAATTAGATGTATTGCTGTAAAAAGGCAGTTAATCGTGCAGCGCTGAGAGCCACTGGGCTGGCAGCATTTTCATTTTAAACGCCTTGATATTGCGGCTCTCGCTGAAACCTCAGCAGTGCCCCGTCTGTCTGGTGTTGCAGTGCAACTTTGATCGAAATACATCCAGTAAAATGTCTAATCAACATCTGACCCGTCCGATAAAGCGTATCGACCTGAATCCAGTCAGAGCTGTGAGCCTGTGTTTCTCTCTCGTGCGCGGTGCACTGCTGCTTGTTATGATGACGTAGGCCGCGCGGGCCCCACTGTTCTTATTTTAGGCCTGTTTAAGAGGTTTTTTATGACGATTGATTTTTGTTCAGTGGAAATTATTCTAAGACTTCACTGAACTATTAAAGCGACGGACAAGATCCACCACAGCTCTTAACAGCGCGGACTTCGCCGAGTTTGAGCGGCCTAACTGACTCCCGCGCTCTGCGGGGGGTGAGAGCCGCGCCCCTCCCCCCGAGCTGTTAGTGAGTGAGCGGCGCCCCCTAGTGAAGCACAACTGCACTACATCTCACAGAAACAATACATGAGGGCGTTCAAAGGCATTTTTACCGCCAACACTTTGATGTCCAAAAGCTAAATTTAGGGTGATTAGAGAAAATGACGTATAATTTGTTCTGATTTGTCTAAAATTATGAAATTTTGTACAGTTATACATTGGATGAACCTCTAAAAATACCCATTTGATTTTTTGGTTACAAATAATATTCACATTTTTATTAACAGAAATAAGGACTTTTTGTTTGTTTTATTAAACATTTGAACCAAAAGACTTAAAATTTAAATACATATGCCATATATTTGATCTATTTGAACAATTTCTTCACATTTGTTCTCAGGGAAGCTCAGAAAGCATATGGACCAAAGTAAATTTTAAATTCCAGATGTGGATATTAATGAATTAAAATGTGTTTTACTTGTAGTTAAACTGATGCTTGTGGATTAATACTGTATCATTGCTCAGCTATTACAGGAATTTGTGTAGATGTTCTGTAAGTGTGATTCCAAGTAAAATGTTTGGGCTTGCTCAAATTTTTTTCTTATTTGGTTTGATGTTTACAAAGTGTCTTACATTTGAACCTAAACACTTTTTCATTTTCTGCCTACTTTCTGCATTAGGTTTGGCCTTTTCTCCTGAACATCCAGCACTGTTTTTTGACCTGAATGTCTTGACACTCACTTCATAAAGGGTCTGAGGCTAAAGGTAAGGACTGTACTTTCTTTTAAAAAGCATTTTTGTTATT